CAGCAATGCCAGGGGCAGAGCCAAGCTGCTGCCCACCGTTCCATACATATGTATGTAAATGTGTGTGTGTGTAATGTATTCCTATCTCATCCATGATTTAATTTTTATGATTATAAATTTTAATCTTAGTCATGTACCACCAAATGGCTTTCAACTTTGGATACATCATTTATTTTCTTTAAATTTATTTTGACTGACAAACGTAAGGAATTGATAATTTTAAAAGAGCAAGCACTAAGTATAATTAAGTAAAAATAAATGTTTTCGTTTAAAGACGCACAGTCGTCTCCGGAAAACATGTACAGAGTATATACATATATATAATATAGGTATATATGTACTTTTCCATATTACTTTTTCAATTTAAAACGGGACATTAAAACTTTGGTATTTACTTTTAGCTATTGTATTTCTTAAACAATGTATCAATTAAGAATGGACCAAGAGATTTTTTTCGGTTTTTCCTTTACCAAACTGACAATCACGATCGATAGCCTCCGATCAACAATATGAATCGAATAGGTTTTACTAATCAATGGTAAAGTGCAAACTTTGTATAACTCTACTAAATGCAACAATTACTGTTTCTTGGATGAGTGAATGATCCCTCGTTTTACCTACGTGCTTGGTGCGAGTTTTTAACTTTCTCAATAGCGTAAAAGTTAACGTTTGCCTACGTATGCCGCTAGGGGCGCTGTTCCAACTGCATACAAATTTGAGTTAACTTTTACGTTATCGAGAACGTTAAAAAACTCGCTCTAAGCACACCGATATAGAGTGAATGCCGAAGCCCATACATAACAGAACGCGAAAGTCACCGCCCAACTTAATCACATATGACATCATTTGTGGTCAAAAATGGACACCTCGCTAACAGTACTACACATAGATTAACCACAAATGACTCCGCGCTTTTGTTTATCTTGTCGTGAAACAGCGAATGAGTTATACGATTTTATTTAGTGATTTGAAATATATTTTATTTTCTTGAATTTGATCCAAGCCAAGGAGGTTTCTTGAAATTTCATCAATATCAGCCTAGCGTTTTCGGAGCCTTTAGTTAACATACAGACATAATACACACTTTTATACACATAGATTCTACAAAACAGTTATATTGTGTTTGTATGAACGACGATATTATGAAAAAAAGTGAGCTTAAACTGTACTGCTAACTTGGATGCGAGTCAAATTATATCTCAGGATATAATACCCTTTCTCGGATTGCTTGATCACTTCTTTATCAATTTTCCTTGTTTTAAGAGGTATTTCGTAATAGTAACCTACACCGCTTAATATTTCTTTCGATCTATGTACATTTAGTAATGGTTAAGGTAAATTAGTTACTTAAGAGTAATGTTTTTATGTTTTGATCTCTTGTTGGCTTAGCGCGATATTATAGTGTATGCGCAATAGATTAACAGTAGGTATATTTGTCAGAAGTGATATAACCACTTTCTTTTTGCGCAAATTAAATTAGTTAAAATGGCAATTTTGTTTTCGATTATATGGATGTCCGGAGTTATTGGGCGATTATTATAATAAATGTGTAAACATGTTTGAGATATGTTAACCAGTGACCTGAGATCGATATATAATTTGTAAGTGAGTTGTGTTTTCTGAATCACAATCCGACGATTTCATTTGCTTAAGAAACATTTATTTTTATTAACGTTATTTAGTTACTGTTTCGATCTATAATAATAACGTTAATAAATAAAAAATAACGTTAACGTTAATAATAATAAACATTTTCCTTCGTTCGCGTAAGACGGTCAAAGATTAAAAACCTGAGAGTCGTCATCGTTAACAGAACGTAAAAAAAAGACAAGAATACTGTATTTTCGCTTGGAAATCTAATCAATTAAGAATTTTATTGTTACGTCACCATTTTCCTAATGATCATTTTTTCCAGTTACGTTTGTTATACTATCTCAAAACATATAATGGAGTTATTTGACTATAGTTACGTATATATTTTCCATGCTCTTATCATATTAAGTAAATATGTATAATTTTTAAGGTGTTAATGTGCACACGTTATCTCGTGCCAACTGAACCGACGCGACGTTGAGAGCTACACTTTTCAATTGAAAAAAATACACAAGTCACATTTTTCTCGTAAGTCGACAATACGAAACAAATGTGACATAAAAACTAAACTGTCTTTTGTTGCATAGGTGAATGAGCCTAATCTAGTTAAGTAGTTACCAGAGTCCATGATCCTCACCATGTGAATGCCGGAATCGACCTTGAGAAATGAAGCAAGCTCACTGAGTTTCTAGTCGGATCTTCTCAGTGGGTCGCGGTTCCGATCCGGTGGTAGATTCTGCGAAGCACTGCTCTTGTTAGAGCTAGTGTTAGCAAATTCTTTCAGATTGAGCCCGTGAGCTCACCTACCCGTCCGGACATAGCTGACATAGCCTCTAAGGCTACCAGCGAATAGATAGGAAAAAAAATCATGAAGCAGAAGTCTCAGTTGTAACGGTTGTCCTATGTCCAAACCTGAACGCAAGACAACTTCGCTTCCAAAATAACCAAGGTGACGGTGTCCATACTGTACCATTCTAACCTCTACCACTAGCAAATTCAGCAAATTATCGCCCTTTTAAAAACATGTAATTTGTTACACAATTAGTCACGTAGTTCGTTAGCTTCGCGTGTTTATTAGAAGTGAGGTTAAAGACATCGCTATAACATGTTTTCATTTTCTGAAAATCGCAATAAACACATGACTTCTGTCCATGAGCGTATTAGCAACACGTTAACGGTAAGACCAGCAGTTGGCGTTGAATAGCAAGCTGATGAATGAAATCAGTAAAAGATTCTAAATCGTTACTTCCTCACTAAAAACACGATATGAAGTCTGATATTATTACTTTATCTAAATCAATTGAATTTAAGTGATGCTATATTATTGCATTGTACTTCTATTAGAAGGACAATATCAATTTTTCCAGCTGTAAGCTTTGAATTTTTACTAATCAATGAGAAAATCATGCTAATGTACATTATGTTTAATTCATGCGACGATAAGTGAACCCCGTCGACCGTGACACAGAACAGTTTAATTGCTAATTCAGTACAACCAAATGTATACTTTGTGTCCATGGCCCGAAAAAATAAGATATTCTCATTTTGATCATATGAGTTTCTATAATAACTATATGAATTTCCCAAAGATACTGAATGACAAACTACAGTAAGCGACGTATCTATAGAGAACAAGAAGATGTTAAGGGCACATTAGATATAGAACTTTTAATTTATTTATTACATATAATTATGTGTAGATGAGCTCACAGCCCACCTGGTTTTAAGTAGTTACCGGAGCCCATAGACATCTATAATGTAAATACCGCCACCCAACTTGAGATATGAGTTCTAAGGTCTCAGCATAGTAACAATGACTGCCTTACTGCTTCCCGGCAGAAATAGGCAGGGTGATGGTACTTTCCCGTGCGAACTCGCAAGAGGTCCTACCACCAGTAACAAGTAACAGTAACCAGCAACAGAGATATAAAAAATTAACCAACAGACAATGATTTTGACGATTGAAAAATAAGTGAATCCATTACTATATACGAAAACGCGGTGCTTAAATTTATTCCGCGACTGGAATGTTTTAAACGTAAATTCTAAAACAAATACAACATGTACGGAATTCAACAACCAAACTGTTGGTGTATATGCATATACTATATGTAATATCATTATGTGGTACCATGAAAAACAAATTGGTAGTATTGGCTTGGTAAATAACCAGAAGTGAACAATCGGAATTGGCAACCTGTGTGTGTGTACCTCATTCGTATGTGTTGACATAAAAAAAATGTTTACTGCTTTAATACTAATATTTAATTTGGGCAGACATGACTCAAAGCTTTAATGTAATGTTTTTCAGTACGATTGTATTTTGTTTTTGTATTGTATTGTTGTAATTTTCATTCGATGTGAATCTTTACTGAACAAGCTACTGTGACTATTCGAACCCATAGACACAGCCCACTGAGATTCTAGTCGGATCTTCTCAGTGGGTCGCATTTCTAATCCGCTGGTATATTCTACGAAGCACTGCCCTTGCTGGGCCAGTGTTAGCAACACTCTGGTTTGAGCCCCGTGAGCTCGCCTACACATCAAGAAGAAGCTGAAATAGCCTCTTAAGACTATCAGCATACGTAGGAGAAGAAAAAAAAGTTACTTTTACTTTATGAGAATGTAATCATATAATTTTTTTAGACAACATACCGTATTCTTGGCTAATATCCAAGTGCAAGATCGAAGCGGTAAGATTTGCGACAGTAAATTATTTACATATTTGAATAGAATAGAGGAAATCCGGCTAGACCGGCTAAGAACCAAACGAAAGCGTTCAGGATAATTTCGATATAATCTTGTATGTGTTTATACTGGACCACTGTGCTACATCAGCCGGCCCGGGGAAGGTCTTGCGGCCATTTCCTATGTAATACATATACATATTATTTATTAGCAAGTGAAACAACCGATTAATTCATAAAGAATATTGTTTTACGTTATGAGTCTCCTGCTTGAAAACACTATATTTTTTTTAATATTAATTTGAAAAGTTTAGAAAACCACACGGTTCATGCCAATAAATACGGTTTCCTGTATATATGAGAGTATGTATTTTAAAAATCTTCGTGATCTTCATAATAAATCAATATTTATAGAACTTATAACGTAAAGTTACTAACATTCTTTATGGATTAATCGATCGTTTGACTTGCTAATAAATCAATTCACAAATCAAAATTGACATTGATAATAGTAAAGTAACGTGCGAGCACAGTTTATTTTCGTCTGACCATGAATGCCGACTCTAACCATTCACTATTTACAAGACGCGATGTCGGGAATTCTGAAAATAATCCGCAATTTGTATGATATCAATTCGCAATAGTTCTAATGTATCAAAAAAACGAACCACATAAATACGTACGAAAATCGTTTTTTCTTTTTCTTATTAAGTTACTTACCTTTTTATTTTGGCGGGCGGGAGTCAGCCCCACTTGGGACCCCATCTCGGCTAATATATTCTTCGGCATTTTCACAGTGGTTTATTTATTATTATTATTTATATCACAACCGGAAAATATTAGACGATTTTTTTTTTTTTAAAACAATATTATCGCGTATCTGAAAATTGCGTTTCGGAGACGCGGTTTGCGCACCGCATGCGCTTGAGTACGAGTGAGCGCGCGCGTTTGACTCTCGCAGTTATAAGTCGCCACGGGGTGACGTCACTACACGTAGTGCAACCTGTGCCTGCTGTCGTCTCACAGCCGCGAATCAATCCGCCGAGACGAGCCTCCGTCTTTTTATCAGTTCTTCAACGATTCAATGACAGCGCTTATCATTTCAATACAATGTTACTTAGCCATTCAAGGATGTTTTATTGATTTTATAAGTGTAGAACCGTTCCTGTAGTACTAATTAAACGGTGTGTACGTACTTTAGCTCGAGTACTAAGCAAGTTGTATGTAGGTAACCCGGTTTATGTATCTTTAAGTTTTCATAATACTAAAATCCCTTATAAGATCGGCTTTGATGTCTTGTGGTTGAAACGTTCGCGATAATGGACGAGATGCTAGTTGTCGCAGTATACTCGTATAGTATGGGAATCCTTTTTCTCAGTACGTACCTATTTACAATCTAGAATGTGTTCACGAACGATTTACTAAGTGTTCATTACGTAAATTTTTTATTCACGAAAATATGTCATAAGCATTATTCTTAATATTAAGATACAACTAGAAAAGGAGCCGTAAAATAATTTACGTTGTATTTTCTTTGGCTTTCGTGAATCGTAGATTTAATAATAAATAATAATAAAAATGTAACACCTCATTTTTCCGGCTTTATTACAGATCCAAAGAATTTCAACTTATTAAAATATCTCTTACTTCATGAGCTCTTTTATGATAATAATATGTAATAAATAATCTATGTACCTAATAGTTAATGTATTAATGTGTAGTAATACTAAATTATATAACGTTAGTAAAAAAACATAACTAACCGCTTGTTTCACAAATGCATGCAGACGGTACTAGTAATGGTGTAGCCATTAGTCTGAAATTAATGCACGTATGTGATAATTTTAATGTTTTGTGTTGATTTTTAGCATTTTTGGTATCAGATTTTAATAAAATAAAAATAAATAAATAAATTGTAGAAGATAAGAACGAGTCGCTTTATTTGATTTTAAGTTAGCTAGTTGGTAAGCAGTGGCTTGGCTCTGCCCCTGGCATTGCTGAAGTCCATGGGCGACGGTAACCACTCACCATCAGGTGGGCCGTATGCTCGTCTGCCTACAAGGGCAATAAAAAAAATTAGCTATTTATTGTCCTCTTTATCGATAAATAATAAATAATTGATAACTAAATAAACAGTTAGTCTAACCTTCAAATCGGAACACCCGTGCGGGCACATAATGTATTTAGCGAGCATACGAATTATGTTGAATAAATTTATTTTGTGTTTATCCGCAATTTATTTCTTTCGCTTACTGCTTCTTAATAAATCAATACAGTCATACTCGAAATCATCCCATACTTTATAATTTATATAAACCACATATGTACAACGCTGTGTAGATATTTGGGGTATGCAATATTAATCTCCTTAATTTAGAAATCGCAATAGATTGTATTACGCGAATACTTACGTTTTCTGACCCAAAAAAAACTATGCTAAAACAAAAACAGATACCAAGAGTAATTGAAAACATTTACAAGATATAAATTTATATATTTATTGCTTAGATGTGTGGACGAGCTCATGGCCCACCTGATGTTAAGCGTTTACCGGAGCCTAAATGCTGCTACCCACCTTTTATTAGTGGTAGGACCTCTTGTGAGTCCGCGCGGGTAGGTACGTCCACCCTGACTATTTCTGCCGTGAAGCAGTAATGCGTTTCGTTTTGAAGGGTGGGGCAGCCGTTGTAACTAAACTTGAGACCTTAGAACTTATATCTCAAGGTGGGTGGCGCATTTACGTTGTAGATGTCTATGGGCTCCGGTAACCACTTAACACCAAATGGGTTGTGAGCTCGTCCACCCAAATAAGCAATAAAAAAGACATGAGTTCTAAGGTCTCACTTAACTACGGCTACCCCGCCCTTCAAAGCGGAACGCATTACTGCTTCACGACAGAAACAGACAGGGTGGTAATCAATCCGTGTGGAGTCACAAGAGTTCTACCACCAGTAGTTACGTAAATTATAATTTGGCGATGTTTATATATTTTATAAAAAAAAAAAATATTTCCGTGATATTCACAATCCTTAGTCATTGAACATAACGTGATAATTTTGCTCTTGTCTGTACCACAGTATTTCTTAAATATTTTTGCAGAAGCATCGATGCTGTATTTGGGTAGTTGTCAGCTGTGGAGTTGTGGATGGAGAGAGCATGGAGTAGTTCTACCTTCAAAAATCCTATAAAAGGCAGTTATTACCCGAATATTTGGATTGATTGTAGCCATGATACTATGTATAATGGTGCAGTTGTACCAAAAAATATTTTAAAATAATTTCAATTTCTTATATATATATATATAGTGGGTTTTTTCTTACGATTTATTGTGGTGAAATATGATGTAAGTTGAAAATGAACTTGGAAAGTGGAAAATGGACTTATAGCAACGTTACGTCAACATGACGTATTTAAAATATAAAGCGTTTTCCGTATAACTATGATTCGTCAATTAAACCAGGCACTTAATTTCTAGTATTGTTCAGAAATTTATTTACATGCTAGTTTTTCTGTTTTTTATGCGGTTTTGTTACGCAGTTTTACCAACGTCAGAGGCGATGACCTTATGGGAACCCGGGTGAATAGGAGTATCATAGTTACCATCAGTAATTCCTATGTCAGAGCTATTACCGAGCCACTGTTTGTGATCCTTAATTAGCTTTAGATTTTCAGATTCTACTGATCCGTTATTTCTTACATTAGCAAATTGTTAACCTCGCTTATTCCTTTTTAGTACTCAGTACAATCGGTTTGGAAATCATATCAGCATAATCAATGAAAAGTTAAATTAATAAGCGTAATTAGTGGCTTTATATATATTAGAGCCCACGTGGTGCTAAGTGGTTATTGGAGCCCATAGACATCTACAACGTAAATGCGCCACCCACCTTGAGATATAAGTTCTAAGGTCTCAGTATAGTTGCAACGCTTGCCCCACCCTTCAAACCGAAACGCATTACTGCTTTACGGCAAAAATAGGCAGGGTCGAGGTACCTACCTGTGCGCACTCACAAGAGGTCCTGACACCAATAATTACGCAAATTTAAATTTTTGCGGCTTTGATTTTTATTACACGATGTTCATCGTGGAAGTCTATCGTGAACAATTGTTAAGTACGTATTTCATTAGATAAATTGGTACCCGCCTGCGGGATGCAAACACCGTTGCATCGCTAGATACGTATGCACCGGACGTCTTATCCTTTAGGCCACGACGACCTCAAAATTAAATATAGCGCGGTCCTAAGTCCGCCATAAACTGAACTTTAGCTTTCAATAAGATAAAAAAAATTCATTCGCATAAGACAGTCAAAAAAATCTTTAGAGAATTTAATGATTCTCGATGCCCTGAGCTCCCCTTTAAATTCGAAATGTCACAGATACGAGATGATTGTAAGTAATTTCAAAAACCTAGACTGAAATTACTGAACTTATAAGACGACAGTAAAGCAGGTCCGAATTTTTCTAATGACCTAGCAATCACGCACATAAATTATAATTTGCGTAATTACTATACTATTGAGTATTGAGACATATTATTATATCTTTTGACGTGACAACGTCTTGCGTTCGGCACACTGAAGTAGGAAACCAATGGAAATGAAACGTCAACAAAAAATTCGTGCCACTGTGACGTCATCTGGCCACAAAACATGGCGGTATAAAATAAATAAAATAGTTTTATTCCGCAGTGAGTAAAACACTATTGTAAATTCGTTAAATATTTATTAATTAAGTGATTTTAGAGAGGAAGTCACAAGGAATGACGTTTGTAATTTCATTAACGAATAAATGTTCTGTAGGTGTTTTTTTTTTATCAGGCGGTCCCTTGATAAGTTTAAAATTTGAATCACTCTCAAGTAATATTTCACATAATATCTAAATCACATCATCTTTGCACATAACAATATACTTAATTCCTATTAAAGTATAAATTCTACAAATACATTCATACTCAACAATATTTAAAATAAAATAAGCCAAGAACGTTTATCGATAAAACCTACTAACATTAAAATCTTCTGGGCAGCACTAAAACCGCCATGTTTTGTGGCCAGATGACGTCACAGTGGCACGAATTTTTTGTTGACGTTTCATTTCCATAGGTTTCCTACTTCAGTGGTATAGAACAATATGTCGTGTCCCTACTATATAGGTCTATGGTTCGGCAGCGTTCGACATTTGTCTCTCTCCTACTTGAGTGAGCGATGCATCCGCGTAGACAGCTGCTATACAATAATACATTTACATGTTTTCGTTAAGTATGAAGTTCAGTGAAAAGTGAATGTAGTGTCAATTGTCCATAAAAAATATTTATCAAACAAATAAAATTAAAATTAAATTAAAATTATGAAAAATTGATGAGAGTGAAATTTTACGATGCGCGGGCACCGTAACACAAAATTAACAGAATGAAGTTGCCCACTAAATCGCTCATTACAATACGACCGACGTAACTTGGCGAGTCTGAATATACCCCGTAAAAGTGTTATTAGCATTCATTTTTTAGGAATATAAATGACAAAATTATTATTGGAACGAAGTTCCTTACGGCAGGCTTGGAGGGGATAGGGATTTTGCTGCGCGACCGAACTGAAAAAAATGTGATAGTAAGAAGAAGAAGAAGAAGAAAAAATCCGTGGAAAAAAGTGCGTGGAATAAAACCGTTAAATGAGACGTGCGTAGGCGCGACAGTCGTATACACAAGCGAGTATTGTATAATACCTTTCTCTTTCTCCCTCTTTCTTTTCGTTCTCTCATCCCTTCTCTCTCTATTTTGTAATTATTTCTATTTCTATGTAATTTTATGTTGTCAAACAAAAATAAAGAGACATATTTTGTTATTTTAATTGATAATTTGAATTACGGATTTTATTTTTATTTTACGTTATTTATTATTTCCTAAAATACTGAATTTCCTAAATACTTTCCTGTACTTAAATAAAAACTAATTAGCAAAATTTAAGAGAAAAATCAAGAAAACCAACATAAAATTGAGCAGGATATTTTTTTTCCAAATTGTGTCG